AAGACTCCACCTCCACACGAATCTGGAAGCCGATGATATGTATAGTAAATTTCGGGATACCCCTTTTGCTTTTACCCCAAAAACGAAGTTCAGTTCCACCCCGAAACACCTGTGCCGGGCCCTGGCGGCGAGGCTTTGAGAACTCTTGCTACGCCGCCGAGACGGTCAACAGGCGCGATTTTTTCTGTGTAGGTCATCAACTCAAAAGCCCACTTCAGCACGCGAACCTTCACGAAATACCAAACAATTGCTTTGGCTTAACGGATGCTTAAAGTTGTCACTTCTTAGGTTTGACGGATTTTGGTTGAGTATGGACTTTTTATAAATTCGATACTAGTTGCGTTCTCGAGGGCTTTTGACCTTCAACGTTTATGTTTCAAATTTAGTTTGTGGTTATAAGACTGAACAACCCATTGAGCTACTTAGCATATTTTTTCAAAGATTTAATTGCATCTGGAGTGCTGGAGAAACAAATTGCATGTCAATTGAGGTCCGACTGGCATTGTAAATCGCTCTTCTTGACATCAATGCATTATTCAAGTTCGGCTATCAACTAATCCTGGCAGGTCGCTATATTTTACTATTTTCCTTTTCAGGTACACCAAAACTTTGCAGATTATTGTCAGAGCACCAAAATTTTAACTTCTCAGACAACTGCATTGGGAAGTTCGCGGGCGCTTTTCCGATCACCAACCATCCATGCCGCGAGCTGCCCGATAAACCTATGTCGAGCGTAAGCGACCGCCAGCGCATCCAGTAAGTCCCGTTAAGCGCCTATTGTTGACCCAATTAGCATGCTTGTAAAGCCTAGGAAGAGTGGATGAACCTTATAATCTGTCTTTCACAACGACGACCACAGAGCAATTCGATCAATTGTTTGCTCATCTGCGACATAATCTGATGTGCTTGATTATACAAGTACGACTGTTGAATTCTACTTCATAGGTGTAGAAATCCAACTCTATCAGATGGAATCATATCCGAAAAACGATGCCCAGCCTTGTAAACTCTTCGGGCCATCGTTTTGGCTTACCGCTTACCTCACGCGGATTACGCCTTCACCTACAGCATGTAAGAAGTGCTACCTTTGATAAGGTCCGCGGCTCGCCGAGTGATTTGGTTGGGCCGCGACGCTCCCTATAATCTCTTCCCGAGTTCAACTTTGGCTGCAGTGTTCTCGGTAAAATATACATGGGCAGCGGCATGCGAGGCTGAAATTTCATGGGCCGCGGCTCGTCAGGTGAAGGTTTTGCGGGCCGCAGCGCGCCATGTGACGCATTCTGAGGCCGCGAACTTTCCGATGCATTTGTCTGAGATATTGAATTTTCTGCACTCTGCGCTGGATGAGGAAATTTTTCAGTCGAAGGTGCCTACCAATAAATTCTGTATTTTTCACTATAGAAAGCATCGAAGGCTGATTTGAGGTCTGTTTTCGATGTCGCTTTAAGCCTCTGAACGCCAAGTTACGTGCGTTTGAGCGAGAAAAAACGCAGGATCTAAAAAAATCAACGCTATGGTCGCTTCATCATGAATTTTCAAGTAGAGACATGAATTGAGATGAAGGAACAAACAGTGGAGTTCTTCGGAGTGAAGTGTGAGGAAAAGGGGAGGAGACATAGTTTTAGAATTACTGGACCGGATATTTTTAGAGCACTAAGGAATTTGGACATCTTGGGTGCAAACGATTTAGGAGGTTGAGAGAGTGAGGAAGTGAGAAAATGTTGCGGATTGACTGATCTTTTTCTGTAAAAGCGGATATCACGGTTCTAGAAAAACAGGTGAGGACGAGCTGGGAGCGCAAGCAAGATATGGTTTGAGGGGCCGCGGGGCTGCAGGTATCGTCGACTCTAAAAATCGTGACGACGGTCTGCAGTGCGGCCAGTGCGCGCCGCACGGCACTGCCGCCTAGTGATTCGCCCAAATTACGTGGAGAAGGTGAGTTCTTGTGGTTTTTCTTTTTCTTTTTGCATCTTTTTTGCTTGCAGGAACTTTCATGGCTACCGCAGGGAGCCTACACTTCTGAGAAGCAAGATTGCCTTACGTTAAAGCGGCAGTGCCGTGCGGCGCGCACTGGCCGTACTGCAGACCGTCGTCACGATTTTTAGAGTCGACGATAACTGTGTGCAGGTTTGTTGGAAAACTTTGAGAAGAAGCCTTTCGATTCTTGATAAAAACGAAGAAGATAGCTGTGGATAAGTGTGGAAGCGACGCAAATCGTCCGCCCTATGCGCCTGTGAATTCGTCTTCTTTCGTCCGCGCAATATGTGCTGGAAGCACAACTACTGCAAGCTAAAAATGCGATAAATGAGCCTAAGCAAGCTGAGCCTAAGTCCAAGATTAGGTCTAAGCCTAAGCCTAAGCTCAAACCTAAACTTATGCCTAAGCCTAAGCCTAGGTAGCCTACTAAGGCTAAGCCTATGTCTAAGCCTGTGCCTAAGTCTGTGTGTATGTCGAAAGGCGCGCTTTGTTAGTTGCCATCGCCGAAGTAAACATGTTCTCTACAAAAGCAAGCTTTTCCGACTTCCAATGTCTATCGATAATTCAAAAGGTAAAGGTTAGGCTACAGGTTAAAATCTGAAAGAAACAAGGTAAATTTGAAGTGGATTTTTGCTTAAGAGACTAAACCTGAGTATCTAAGCCTAAACCCAAGCCTATGCCTACGCGTAAATTTGAACCTAACCTAACCCCAATTTAAGCCTAAGTCAGCCTAAGCTTAATTCTAAGCGTACGTATGCCTAAGCCTATGCTTAACACGTTTCGGACCGGTGCTGCACATGGTGCAGCACGCGGCTTTGAAGGGTCTTTTTAACGTTTACAGGAGGTTTTCCTTTTGTCCAAGGTTAGCATTTCATAGGCCTAGGCTCCCCCTACTTTTCAAATAACTCTGTAGAGCTGTGCCGCCAACATTTGTTTAGGAGATATGAGCACAAATCGAACAACAGTTGCAAATAAATGCGGCAAAGCGAACGACGCGTGCGACGTCGCAACTTTTCTTTGCTTCACATTCAATGAGAAAACCCGTAATTTCAATAATCATGTGTATCGTGTACAACATAAATACTTTTGGATACAATTAGAAACTGAGTTCTTGTTTTTATCTTTCAGGAAAGCACAGAAGTCCTTCTCAAGCGACAAAATTTAAACACTTCGAATTCATTCAGAACTTTGGGTATCGATCTTATCTGACATGCTGATTACAGATTTAGCACACAGTCTGGGAAATAAGGTTGGCTAACGGCTGAAAGTATCCTCCTTTTCGCCGCGCGCGATTTCGCGGTCCGAAACGTGTCAAGTCACTAAGCTTAAGATATTAATGAGGGAAGGAATCAGTTGAAGTGGTGTTTGAGATGTGATATACACTGCCTTATAGAGCTTGGGACGCTATCAAATCTGCCTTGGCTATCTGCTGCTGACTTCTAAGCTAGGGTTATGAAGATTTTTGGGAGTTGAAAGTTAAATGCAAAATTAGCATAAAATCAGTCGTAACAATTTCTCTAGAGCTCAACCGATAGTCGGGTCACTCGGTGGAATGAATTGTTTTGATTTAAATATACCAACTCGCTGCTGCCTCATTTGAACGCTGGGGAAAGGTTACGATTGATTTTATACTGAATTTCATTCTTCTTTTTACTCACTAAGATCTTGACAACTCATCGCCCATAAATCCGCAGCAGATAGCAAAAGTATGGAAGCGATCCAAGCTCTACTAAACATTGTACATCTCATCAAAAAATAACAATTTCGACCAACCTTCCTTCCCTTGTAAGCATAAGCGCAAGCGTAAGCCTAATTCTAAGACACTAAACCTAAGACACTAAGGCTAACAAATCAGTTTTCAGTAAAGCTAACAATTGGCAAAGTAGTTGATTAAGAACTCCCGTTCCAACGTTCATGTGCTAAACATAAATTAAAGACTAATCCCAAGTCCTATTTCTGAAGTTAAATGTCTGTCTGTATATAGTATGTACGCATCTCTGCTTGTATGCCCGTATGTTCTGAATACAAAATCCTTTTCTGAGCCGATCCTGACCACACTTTGCACTCGTACATTTCGGGAGCCGTAGGCTACTCTAAATCATCGAACAATATCGGTTCATTGACTTTTTGCGAGCTCTTAGTCGCGAAAATGGGTGGCATTGTTGCGTGAGTGAGCATGCTGATTACAAACACATTATTTGTGAAACTCTCGATTATCTCTATCGACTTTATCGACTTTTTGCAAATTTTGAACTACTACGAGGCTGAGAGCCGGCACAGGGGCTAAGTGAGCATGCTAATTACGAATACAGTATTACCTCTCAAATCGCTCATAGTACAAACTTTCAGCTACAGACTGGGCGTTAACACAGGGGGGGGGGTTGGTGAGCTGCCGATTACGAAAACATAATGGGGCAGGGAACCAACATAAAAGTGGGACGGGGAAACTGTATAAACACTGCTAATTTTCATTAATATCAATAGTCCGGAGGATAGGCGACTATATGTCGCCGGAAAGGATCGTCCCACACAGACATCTGAACCAGACCACGCAACTCCATACATTACAGACATCATAAACTATATCAGCTGTCCGCGCAGACATATAATTTATTAGACCCGGACGAAGCCGGGTATGACAGCCAGTATCATATGAGGATTGTTTCCTCGAGTTTTTTTGGTGACGCGGATCTGGTACGCAAAGGCGTGACAAAGTGATTATTTGTTTGAAACCGCCAAAATTAGAAAGGAACTGTACTGTTTGTTTCCTCGATGATAGCACAGCACACAGCATATTTTATTGTTGTATGGAGACCTTGAGTCTGCATGGTCGAATATTTTCCTGTGTTCGATGCGGCACAATCACACTTGAGCGCTAGCCCTAGATTAGCTTTGTTTCCTCGATGATAGCACAACACACAACTTCTGGAAAGGGCGTGCGACACTCGCGGAGAACGATGCCATCGCTCCAATAGAATATCCCATCAAAGTACTCGAGGATGCAAAAAGAACCGGTTTCATAAAATTCTTTATCTTCTTTTCTGAGACACGGGCATCATAATAGACTTTGATAAGTTATTTAACACATCTGCGAAAATCTCATGCAATGAATGAAGAGGTTGTGTAACAAATGAAGCTGATGACAACTGGATATGTCAAGCTTCAGGGCAGGTACTGACGATGATTGTACTATGATTTAACGACTACCGATTGAAAACAGGACAGCTCGCGCTGGTAAAGAAGTAGACGTTGACCGCAATGAAAGATAGGAAGAAAATTGCAATATTTGGCCTAAACGCACACAGACATTGCATATACCCCGATCAGATATATCATAATTATATAGCTACGCTATTTATCTGGAGAAAGACTGATAGATTGACCAAAAATTAGGAAGTGAACACGAATGAGGAAGAGAACAAATGAAACGAGATGTGTAAACGGAGCGACGGAGATGACTTTTGCTACTGGTCGATATCAGCCATCTGCTCATCGGGTTGCAGTTGTTTACAATACTGGAAGAGGATCTTCTGATAGTATTCGCGCGGCGTAAGCGTGCGAGCCGTCGAACACCTGAATATATAAGGTCATTGAGAAAGTATGAGATCCACAGTCACAGCAGCATGCCTTGCTGGAAAACATTTCTTAGGCTTGTGTGCATAAAAATCCGTGCGGCGGGGAAAGCGTCCCCCATCATAAAGGCGCGGTCGAACATTGTTGCGGCTTTCACTGGGGACGCCGCTCCCCTCGCCGCGGGAATTTTTCATAGCTCAAATTTTACGGAATTATATAACAGATAAGTAGATGCTCTATTTATTCAGGTGGCAAGTGCAACTGATTAGGCCCTTATGCGCGTACATCCCTCATGGGAGGGGAGCTGTGAAAGAAAGCTTAAATTTCGGTGCTTTGGGGATTGTAGTCCTTCCTGACTGTCTTCTAAGCGCCGCATGCACTAACATCCTCGCGGGGAGGGGATCGCAGCTCAAAAGAAAGCTTTATATTTCAAAACTCCAGGTACCTGGATTTCACGTTGTGTACCTGTCTGTAAGTATTCCTGCTAACCTTCACTATGAACATGTTGAAGAGGAGCGAGAAGCTGTACGAACCGCATTTTCCAGCTTTCGTTTGATCCCTGATGATCCCCGACGTTTTTCTTCAAAGTCATTTTTCTTTCTCCGAAGTTAACGAAAAACCTCCAAAGTTGTGCAGATTATCTAAACCCGACAGTGCTAAGCATGTTGCTGGTAAGAACAAATGATGTTTTAAAGTCATGAAATTTTCGATGATCCACAGATCGAAATTTGAGGTTTATCGAAAAATTCGACTTTTCAAAAACTCATTTATTCTCATCAGCAACATGCTTAGCTCTGCTGTGTTAGATGTTCAGTACAACTTTGAAAGGTTTTCGTTAACTTCGGAGAAAGAAAAATGACTTTAAAGAAAAGCGCCGGGGATCATCAGGGATCATACAAAAGCTGGAATATGCGTCGTACACCTTCTCGCTCCTGTTCAACAAGTTTATAGTGATGGGTAGTAGGAATACTTCGGGTAGGTACACAACGTGAAATCCAGGTATCTGGAGTTTCGAAATATAAAGCTTTCTTTTAAGCTGCGATCCCCTCCCCAGCGGGGAGGTTAGTGCATGCGGCCCTAAGAGCCTTGCTATCTTGCTCACAAGGGAAGGATACTTGAGGATACTTGCATTTCATTGCGAATAGCAGGTGACCCTGCTATTCGCAATGAAATGCATTCACCAAATGCATCTTGAAAGCTGATTGCAGATCTGCTTTTTCTATCTGCTAAGCGATTGTCTAAAATGAGCTATAAGCTTTTTTCTGCATACTTTTTGCACACTGAAGCGTAGTCAGAATCAATGATATCTGAATCATTTGATAAACGCAATTGAGACAGATTATCCAAATCTTAAGTAATTGCGCCCTCCTTCAGATGTTGCCTCGACGAGCGAAACAAGAAATTTGAGCGATGTTCGTAGTTTAGCTTGACGGAAATAATGCAAGTTCTCATGAAAACAGCGTTCATAACTTACTTCACACTGTCGCTTAACAGATTTGAAATTAAAGTCTTTCAAGACGCATCTAGTGTGAGTCTCATTAGGAGTAGCTCGGTCACCAAGTATCCTTCCCTGCTAGAGTGATAAAAAAGCACTTTGCTGAGAACCTGAGATTTCTCGTGTTTTGTAGATCCCCAGTAGGATCCTTAAGAGATCACCGATCATCTTCAAAACCAATCATCTTTCCGCAAACTGATAAAATTACCGTAAAGGTGTGCTGCGGAGCTATTACGACAACGAAAGTATGTTCAAAAACCTTTGTAATTTGTGAAAATTTACAGCGGCGACCGCCGGATCTCGCCGAAGTTTGCATCGCATGGCTGTATTTTGCTTCAGAGTGGACTGATTCTGAATCCAGGGGCACCAACTCAGCTCGACTACGCGCATATTCCAAATATACAGGGTGTTGAGTAAGGCGCACGGTAGGCGGCGAGACTTCTCAATTCCTTCAAAATTTTTGTTTACAATAGGTAAAGGGGCGGAGGGAAGGGGCGACAAAGTACGCAAGAACGATAGAAAGTGCTTTGTCAAGGAGGTGGTTCAGCTGAGTACCGTCGTGATCCAAAATTTTTTCCCGCGTTTGCTAAAGGTGTTTTAAAAAAGGATGCGTTGCTCGCACATACCTGAAGTAAGAATTCTTTGCTTGTTTATTAGTGATAAGCGACACATGCGTAACAAACAATTTTCTACCGTAGAAGCTGTACGAAGTCAAAGAAAATCTCTTTTATAAGGACTGATTATGGCTTCAGAGACGGGTGAAGTTGTGGAGATGAATTTCAAGGCTGACTAACATTTGCAAATGCAAAAATTTGTGACCCATAACCTGTCTCAGCTCATATGCTGGTTCCGTGATCAGTGATTGATTCTGATTGCAAATATTATGTTCATTTCGCCCAAGGAATCCCACTTATTGAATATGGTGGTTGGGTGTGCTTCAGCTGCTTAATTGAATATCAAAGTTTCGTAGCTAGAGCTCAGATCAGTCTAACTCTCAAATTCAACACAAGAGACCCATCAAGCGATTCGAACAGATTTGATCAGCGTGTTATACAGTCGCTCAAGGTGTGGAATTTCGACAAAGTACGCAATCTTTAGCAAAATTCATGAGGACGTTTTTCGTAGGCTCGTAACTCGGCGATTGTTACATGTTGGAGCTCGAGACATGTACCATTCGATGGCGCGGTTCCCAGTAGATCTTATATACAGGGTGTCCCAAAAGTATGTATGCACTGTTTAATTGTTAGTATCTCTCTTCCCAAGAAGTCTTTTACCCTGCTTCATGTACCGTTTTGTAGAGCTGGATTCAACTTAGATTTGCGTTATAAAACAAATCACCCATCTCTCTTCATTACTGTAGGATTACGGTAGAAACCCCAAAGAGGGCTTTGAGCAATGAAAGGCCATATTTTGCCTCAGAAAAAAAACAGCTTGAAAGCTTTTACACTAGGCTAACTAGAATTGCTGATTCTGACTGTAAAGTTCCCAACTTATTATGATGCTTCATTGAAGAGTTATGTCGGGTAAGAGGTAGCGGCCATTTTTTCAATATTCCTAAAAAGTGCGGTTACACCGTTTAGAAAGCTTCGTAATCTTGTGAATAATTGAGTATTGAACTCAGCGTCCATAAAAACCCTATGACACAAGTTTTCACATTTTTTTGAAAAATTTTGAATTGACAGCTTTTTCCACATTGACACCATATGTTTCAAATTCCTACCGTAATCCTACAGTAATGAAGAGAGATGGATGATTCGTTCTATAATGCAAATCTAAGTTGAAGCCAGCTCTACAAAACGGTACCTAAAGCAAGGTAAAAGACTTCTTGGGAAGAGAGATATTAACGATTAAACAGTGCATACATACTTTTGGGACACCCTGTATAAAGCTGAATGTGTGTCTGTATGTCTGTCTGTACGTACGTGCGGAATAGAAATTTTTATTTCTGAACCGATTTGGACCAAACTTGGCACACATATACTTCGGGGCGGGAAGCGTGTCATAGGCTGCTTTTCGTTATCGATCGATATCGATTTTATAGATTTTTTTGCAAAATTTGAGCTACGAGGCTGGGAGTTGGCACAGAGGAGTAATCAAGCATGCTGATTACAAATATGTTGTTGACAGGGCCGGGCGGAGCTGGGTTTGCCAACTAGTTTAACCCATAAAAGCAAGTGGGCAAGTTTTCTGACAGATGTGCGAGAAGTGCAGGCAAAGTTACGCACTTTCGTGACTCAGTTACGGTTACCTCACCATATGCCTGCAAAAAGACCCTATATTATTCAAAGACCACGATTTTCGTAAAGAGCGTGTCCGGAACTTCTCTAAACGAAGTTACTTACAGTTCAAGATCATCAACATTTTAACCAATCCATCCGCGGGCCGAAACCAACCCGAACATCTCAAAAAACTTGCTCACAGAGGTTATCCGACCTGCTGATCACGAAAATCACATCTGCTTAGCAAGAGAGCTTCATATTTTAGGGTTATGGTGAGAAAAATCTAGAACGACATGATTTTACTCATCAGGCCTTCTATTTCCTTCGGAAAGAAATGTGCGGCTAATTCTTGGTTCCCCATAATCTACAAAAGAAGTACTATCGAAAGATTCTCGCAGATTTCACTAAGGGCAACAATACGCGATGCTTTTCACCTTTGCGAAGAGACGTCCGCAGAAAGTTTTGCGAATCTTAAAATCGAGATAAGGACATGCTGTACATCGAAAGATTCGCCTTGATGAGCTGAGCACAATGCTTTACTAGTATCTTTTGTGTTGGATAGGCGCTGCGTTATAGTCGCCGTCACCCCACTAGTCGGTCGGTGGACGAATTCAAATTTGAATTGAAGCAGGCCTGTCACGGCAGAGCGTGGCAGGAGACAACGCTAAGCAATTACAAAATCTCAATATAGATCAAAAACGTTGTAACAATACAAAAACTGTTAAGCAATGGCGAAGAAGTACGCAAAGTGAATGCGTGAATTTGAACGGAGAGCTGAGGTGCCGTGCTCTGCCGCGACCTGCCTGCTCCAGTTCGCATTCGAATTCTCCCACCGACCGACTAGTGGGGTGAGGACGACTATACATCCTTGCGAACGGACCTCCGCAGAAGAATCTGAGAAAATTGGAAACTAGTAGCTCATTCATAACTCGGCATGCAGAGCGCTTGGCGGATAAAATCAGATTTGTAACGTTTAATGTTCTTCAGAGTGGTATAAGACCCATTTGGAAAGGACACTTCGACTGGACTGACCTCCCTTGTGAGTTGCAAGTTCTATGACTTCTGGGATAGTTTTGCGAAGAAAGTGTCGGAAAAAGGGTGCAATGGATTAACATCTTCAACGTTTCTTGCTGCAAACATTACTGACATTGCATTCGCTCTTGCTGATCCAAACGGCTTCCCATAGCTATGCTAACGGAATGCTATTGTGTCTTAACAAAACGTTATGAGGGCGACTCCATCAAAGTGGTGCTTAACTGTGTTTTGGAGGGTCTCGCGGGTAGTTTCTCAGTTTACAGGCCTGACTCTGTAAAAAACATACTGTCAAGTCACTTGCAACTTGATCCGTGGGCCTGCTCCCTACGCTCAACAAACAACAGGCCCTTAACTCGTAACTCCGCAGTAGACTATTTTCATCCACAAACTTTAGGAGTGCGATCTGCTAATTATTACAGATCCAATAACCAAAGGGACAAATTACAAAGAAAATACAGGAATTGAGCAGATTAAATTTTATAAGCCGTCGAGTAGAGCGCATGGAGTGATACGCATGTAAATTACAAAAGACTCGAAGATTAACAGTTTGAACAAGCATTCCTTTTTACAGTAGCGAACAACTTGATACGTCTGGCCTAAAGGGGACTGTACGCTTTGATGTACTCTTCCAGAACATATAGGGTGTCCAAGAGTGTGCCTACTGTTTGATTGTTAATTAATACATTTCTTATCATGAAAGCTTTTGATAAGTTCTAAGTAGCATTTTGTAGAGTTGGCTTCAACTTAGGTTTACAATATGAAACGAATCAACGGTCTCTTTTCGTTACTGTAAAATTACGGCAAAAACTTTAGAAAAGGTTTGGGGACATAAAGGGCTTTTTTGCCGCAGATAAAAAACAATGCGACTTGGAAACTCTCACAATAGGCCAACTAGGGCTGTTGTTTTTGACTATGAAGTTTGCATCTCATCATAATGCCAAGTACGTGCCAAGTGCCAAGTCTCATCAGTATGCCAAGTAAGCGGGGCAGTCGTTATTTTGATGTCCTAAAAATGTGGTTATACCGCTTAGAAAGCTTCACAATAATAGTATGCAAGAGTATCGTTCTCAGCGTCCAATAAAAAAACTATCACACTTTTTAGATTTTTTCAAGTCATGTGAAACGACAGCTTCACAGTGACGCATATGCTAGACTTTCTTACCGTAATCCTGTAATGAATACCGATTAGTGATTCGCTCTATGCTGTATGTCTAAGTCGCGGCCAGCTCTGCAAAATGGTACCTGAAGCTTATCGAAAGACTTCATAACGAGAAAGTTAATAACAATCAAACAGTAGGCAAATTTTTGGACTTTATTTTAGAAAAACGCATTGCTCAACCACAGTCAACCCCAATCTGATTTACATCATGAAAACTGAAAACGACAAAGACGAAGAACTTTGAAGATCAATATCTCATCGCACATCACTTCATCTTCCTACGTCTTATGATCGACATTTTTTCCCATTATCACCATGCTGACAGAAATGCACTAATCATAGCTCTACTCTCATGCTCATGCGTTTAATTTTGTTTGCAGTTCTAATATCTGAAGAACTGAAGTCCCCTAATTTACATTCTGTACAAATTTTATAAAAGGTTTTCAATAAACATCCATTTGAATACAGTGTGGACCCCGGCCAACTTCCCATAGGTACCTGCGCGACGCACCCGCAACGCACGCCTTCAGTGCGTCTCCTGTCCTAGCTCCTGATAGAAATCCTCTTTTCTCTTTTTTTTTTGTTTTTGGTGTACTATATTCTTTCTATTCCAGATATAAACAATCGCGATGGCCGGTGAGGAGATTTCACGTGCTCTAATAGTTCTAAAAGCTTCAGTCTTGTGTAGTAGTCTTGTTTCCCTTTTTTCTGTGAAAAATTGGGATTTGATTCGATATTAAGATAATATTCTTTCAAAAGCTTCTTGTATAATATAAGAGTCCCTCTCGGTTTGATGTGTAAGGTGTAGACAGTGTCTCAAGTCAAAATTGAGCCTTCCAAAAAGCCAACAGGTATTTGTTTACGGAAGTGTCCACTTTTTTTGAAATTTTGACTACTCTAGTTTCTAAGTCTACGAAGAGAAATGTTTTAAGAATGCTGTTGTTCTTTAATTTCTCTACGTATACTTATTACAACCTAACCTTCGGTGCATGTTCGGAATATGCATCCATTGATTAAATTTGAGGTACTCATGGAGGCTGCTTGCGTTCTTTCTTGCATACGTCTCTTTCGAAGTAAACCTAGAGGTTTCCACTTTACATTTTTCTTCTTTGTGAGCATAAATGTGCTCTACTGCTCATGAGTGAGGCGAAAAGTGAGGCATCAAGAAGGGTGCGCGCTGCATGCGCGCCGCGGAAGTACCTATGGGAACCTGGCCGGGGTCCACACTATACCGGTAAATACGTATAGATTTAAAACATGGGTATGAGAAATGCACTTCAAAATTTTCAAGAGAACATTGATGAGCGCAAAATGCGCCATAATTGATCAGAACATCACTGGGTCTCGCGCCGAACCTCGGATTTTCTCCCGGTGTGCATGGATGCGGGAGAATAAGTTGTCTCGGACAGTAATCTCCCGATCGCAATGCCGGTGGCCGGAATTTCTCGAGAGAGATTTGATTAAGTCCCGCAGTCATTCCGTCACTACATAAGTTTTCCGTGCGCGCGAGTTAACCACGAATGTCTAAGATACGAGGGTGATGTTATGAGAGTCAAACTGCAATTAACCGAAATCAAGAATAAGCATGGAAGATGGGAGGGGCGGGCGTTGGAGCCCGGTGTAAGTCTGATGACCTCGCGAGTTCGCTACACAAAAGCGGCTAACAGCGGATAACGGGAATTACAGGCGACTATAGGCGGCTGCCGGCGCGATTTGAAAGCACTCTTTGCCCCTGAGGGTGTACGGCGTTGCCTGCTGATATAAAATGAAGGCTATGTACTCTCAAAAGAAGGCGCTACCCATTCAAGCGAGGAGTGCGCAGGACATGCAAGCTCTACTGATAAAAGATGCTCGCTCGAACGGCGACGTTTGCACCCGCTCCGCGAGGTGTAGCCGTCGCTTTCGGCAGGGATCAGCCATCAGAATAATCTCGAACAGACTTTCCTTTCGAATTTGATAAAGCTGTAACAACGTATTCAAATTTGAAACACTTGAGCTATACGGCATCAAAGTTTCTGCATTATAAATCGTTGCTTGTAATTTCTGTGAAAAGAAAGTCAAGATTGTCCTACCTGCTGGTGTTGAGATCTAGGCTTTCCATGCTAGCGAGTACTCGATCAGACGCAAACGATAATGTCCTCGGGTGTTCTATCCACTTGAAGTAGTAGATATCCGGTGGCACATACGGTCGACCTCCTATCCAATTCAGATCGGGCTGCCGGCCATTGATAAGGCAATCCAAAAGGTATTCCTAAACAAAGCATTGTCATGACTACCGTCAGACCGTAATAGTGTCAGGAGATCAAAGATAAGGAATGTGCTACAGCGCAAACGTTACCTCTGGAAGCTGAGCTAGTTTGTTTAGTTGTTCCGGCGTTAAGCCGTAGTTTTTCTGCAGGAAAGCCACGTAACCGAACACCTCTCCCAAATGGACTACCTAAAAGAGTTGTTATGACTCCCCACATTGTCAAAAGTGTATTAAGGCACCAACACTTTCGAAAAAATTTTCCGCGGAAGGGTGATTATGAACCGCAGTTCGAGTGTGTTGGAGTCATTGATCGCATGAGAAATGATTTTGCGTTAAAAATACCCTAGCTCTTGTAGCCTAAGTTGGTCACAATAACCGTAGACTTCCACCGTGATATCTTCAGAAATAGAAAATTCGTATGAGGAGGCCTGGAATACATTCCCTATCTGGTGTGGGTGCGCAGATGTTAACAATGGCTGAGAAACTTTCCAAACTCGAGCTGCTGCCACACTCATGTCCAGTACTCTAGCATCTCACCGCTTTTGAGGATGTGAGTTGGCTTCTTTATATTATAGATACTTTAACTCGGTTTTATGGACTTGTCAAATTTTGGACATGTTCGACCGGAAGTCATGATACGACACTTCAAAAGACATTTTAATTCAACTTTGCCATTGGAATTTCACATGATATGATTGGGGTAGATCAATATTTTATCGAAATAGCTATGCGTTTGATTCGAAAATTTGACATGCAGAATTGTATTTGAAAGTAAAATGAGTGGTACTATACGACATCCGTCAAGCACTAACCCCATACGAGTCCCAACCAGGGTCAAAGATGTTGTGTGGCACGCCACACCTGGGGGTCGTATTGATGGGCCAAAAAGCGAATGGTCATAATCGAGCAGTACTGATAATAGCGATAACATGATATTCGTGAACAGTTTCTCAGATAAAGCCATTATGCGAAATACAAGCACATGAGACATTGACTTGTCATCGTGTACAGGGCTTATTAACTGTAGTGTCGTGAGCACCAGCATTTCCGCTCTCGCACGGTCGCGTCTCCTGGATTCTGCTATTTTGCAAACATGCACTCTGATCACTTTCTCACCGCGAGCGTGAAAAAGACGGAGCCTTAATCGATTAAATATGATTTGCGATAAGTCGGTATCCGGAGCATAAAATAAGATCGCTTTTACTTATCGAAATGAGAATGATATTTGCAGAGGCGTGCTATTTGTAAAGGTTAAACAACTTTTCGTAATTTATCTCAAGGCAGAGGCAGGCTTACATTAGTACCACCTCGATTACGACTCCTTCGCCATCTGAACCTTCAATACGACCCCCATGAGTGGTCACAGCTCGAGCTTGAACCTGCTTTAGCGTAATAAAGATAGGGACCACACCAAGGGCCGCATGCAATAACATCCCCAGAGAGGGGATCGCCTCTTGAAAAGGCTTTGTATTTTGAAGCTCCATATCCGGATTTCATACTGTTTACCTTTTGTAATTATTTCCATACTACGCTATAAACAACAAGAAGTTGTACAAGAAGCCTTTTCCAGTTTTTGTATTTCAAGAGATTCCCCGATGATCCCCAACCATCTTTTCTACCAGGTCATGTTTCTTTCTTCGAAGTCAATCTAAACATTTAAAATTTGTACTAATTATCTTACTTAACAGTGCTAATGATGAGATAATTGATACTTAAACCAGCCACTCCAAAAAGTTATATAACATCGCACTCGCTTTCACAAGCTCACCTCAAATTTATGTTTCTAATCTGCAGCGCTACTATATAGGAGAAGTTTTCAGCGTTTGAAAGTGCGAATTTGTCATGTATTCTGTAGCTTGTGTTCTATAAATATTTCAAGGCACTTATAAAGGGCTTTCAATGGGTGTGCTTCTTCCCTGTAATTATTATACTCTTAAAATGTGTAACTTCGCGCCCTGAGCCTACTAACAATCTTTACTCACTAAGACTTATTTAACTCTCAAATACAAAACTCCTTCCTGATAGTTGCTCAGCAGACGAATATTGCTTGAGATCAGCGTTTTAAAGGCAGCGTCTCGGCAGAATGAACCCACCTCAGATTTTGACACAGATAGATAGGAGGCCCTTCAAGTGAACCAAAACAACAATTGGGCACCGAAAATGTGAACTCTGCAAGCCAGGGAGGCGGCCCAACCGCCGCTCCAATTCCTCCTTTCGTTCCCCTAACACCTTATTCGGACAAGTGTGTTCTCCGTTAGAAAACGCGCCGTCACTCGTAGCTTCGTAGGGCACAATTGTTTTAGCGCTCTCTACCTCCATACTCTGCGTCTCTGACGGCAGAGAAGAACGGCTCACTCGTCCGCGCCCATCTCAAGGGGGGTTTCAAAAGGCGGGGTTTTCCCCCATTTTCGCGCTAAAGGAAGTTCATGTCGTGATTCAGGAAGCCGGAATAGCCCCAAATCTGCCAAAACCCCGAAGTTGAAAATCTGCCGAGCCGCTGCCTTTGAGGCGAGTCTCGAGGTGAGAATATATAGCTTGTTTGGAATAGCTGGGTTAACTTTTGACCATTCGCTCGTAAGCATGTTTCTGATCAAAATGAATGAGTTATTGAAATATTGGAATATTTGATCTCGATAAACCGCGACTTTCGAGCTGTGGTTCATCGCAATTTTTATGACTTCGATGCATCATTTGTCTTCATCAAAAACATATTCAGCATCATTGAGTTAGATAATCAAATAATGACTTACAAAATACGGTCTGCCGCCAGGTATCACCAGGAGAATCATACAAAAAGCAAAAAAATGCGGTTTGTACAACTTCTTGCCTCTCAGTATGTTAAAGCGTCCGGGCATAATTTCGAATGGAATTTTTCTCGCTTACCTAGGCTTCTTCCTCCCGCTGATTCTAAGGCCCGTATGCACGTACATCCCCGCGGGGAGGGGATGTGCGCTTAACCATTGAAATGATCCCCGCTGGGGATCCCCTCCCCTCCCCGCGCGAACCCCCGTATGCACAAAGACAATATCGGACAAGGGATCCCCTGTGGGGAGGGGAAGTGAACCCCCTTATGCACAAGAGGGGATCAAGCGGGGAAATCACCTTGCTTTCAAATTTTCTATGAAAAACTCTTTCTTATTTCATATTTTGACTGCAACTCATCTTCATCTCCTCACTTTCAATAATTTGGGGTTGCGGAATGCGCGTATGCAGTGATTGCGCTCGGGGCACCAAAAATGATTTTTTCTACTCCCATTATGTTCCTGTCCTCTTGGATGCTGCCCTTCCGCTCATGCTGCCCCATTTCAGCGTAAAAATGTTGAACTATAGAAGTTGATGTGTCTCTGCAAGGGAATGGGTAGAAGACGTTATGCTGCCGAAAAGGGGGGGGGGGGTGCCGCGCGGACGCTCAAAGCAGTATTCTAACACATAACAGAAGCTGCAATTTGTGTCAGCTCTCCATAAACGCTGTAGCTATCAGCTGCATATCGTGCTTTATCCCAGGGGAATGATCCCCAGCAGCCATCCCTGCTATGCACAAGGGGAACGCTGGGGAGGGGATCACTCCCCAGGGGATTTCTACCCAGAAATAGGCAAATATGCTACTTTCTAGATTTTTTCGAGGCAGCTTATGTTAAAATAACAAGATAATGGCAACATGTCATGAAATATGAAAGTTACAATGTGTTTACTCAGCCAATATAGTTGAAACTATTATGTTGTATGAAAAATGCGCAAATTTTCTGAATGATCAAGAACTCCTACAAATGATCGAAATTGGCAGCTATTATTGCTCGGATTTTTTCTCAAGAGGCGAATATAGAAAAGAAAGACAAATTGCAAGCCACATGTCGCTGAGAGAAGAATCCGGCTTTCAAAGAAAATCCTCCATCAAAATGAACGAAATGCTTGGTAATGACTGAGCAGAACCAGAATATCCGCGTCTCTGGCATGATCTACACCATCGAACCCCTAGTTCGTTGCAAGGGATGTCGATCCCCTCCCCCGCGTTATTGAGTTGAATTCGCGCATACGGGGTTCGAGGGGGGGAAGGGAAGGGATCCCCTCCCCCATTCGAACCCCGTATGCACTGGGGTTCGCTCGATCAATACCTCTGAAACCATTCACACCATCCCCGCTTAGGTGCAGGGGAGGGGATCGCTCCCCTCCCCTCTGTCATGGCGGGGTCCGGCGGAGGGGATCGTTCCCCTGGGGATCCAGCTCCCCTCCCCTCCCCAGCGGGGATGTACGTGCATACGGGCCTAAAAATGCAGCTTGGAGGGCACGAAAACGCCGAAAACGCTCTTCTAGAAGCTCTTGATTTGGATTTTGTCGCCTGCCGCCAAGGATAAGACGCAGAGTCTTTGTGGGACCCTACGTTTTGACTGTGTGCGGTATGCGCACTCTGGCCGAGGGCGTTCCGGTCGCCACTTCTGAAGCGGATTTTTCGCTTCAAAAATAAATTGGTGCATTGCCAGTTGGGCAAGAGTATTAGGACGGGTGTCCCGTGTATTCCACATTTTCGTATCTGCTCGGAAGCTGCCTTTAAAGGCAGTAGGTCGGCAGAATGAGACCCGTGGCAAAACAAGGTCACAGGATAGGAGCCCCCATAATGGAACCTATGGGCCAAAGTTCGATCTTTCTCTGCCACTTCTAACCCCCGAAACTTCAAAGCGAAAGCAGCGCTCATCTGCTGTCCTCTCCGAACCCGCCCACCCCATGGACGAGTGAACGCGAAGCCCGTCATGGCGAAGACGCAGAGTCGTTGCGGGACCCCATGCTTATAGCATTGCGGCTGGCGCTCTGACCGCAGAAGTCACTCGTCCATGGGGTGGGCGGGTTCGGAGAGGACAGGAGATGTGTGCTGCTTTCGCTTTGAAATTTCGGGGATTAGAAGTGGCAGAGAAGGATCGAACTTTGGCCCTTAGGTTCCATTATGGGGGCTCCTACCCTGTGACCTTGTTTTGCCACGGGTCTCATTCTGCCGACCTACTGCCTTTAACAGTGAAGGATGGTAGGAATACTTCTGGATGATAGTGTGAAATCCAGATATCTGGGGCTTCAGGACATGAAGATTTCTTCAGCTACAATTCCCTCCTTAACGGGATGTTGATGTTGATGCATACGACCTCAAATCAGGCTGGCAGAGGGGAGAAAAGGCTCCTCGCCCCAAAAAAAAGGATAGCCAAATTTTACTTTTTGAATTAGAAGCATAAAATCACGCAGTTATTGAAATAAGGCTTGTAGAAATTTTCTTCTGGGGCCCGCAAAATTTTTGAAAGTATCAAAAAATTTTCGGAATCGTAGCTATCGCACCCTCATTAAGAAAAGTTTTGTCGCGCTTCTCTTCCTCCATCCCCTCCAAAAAGGTCGCTACTGTAGGGAACATATGTATAAACAGACAGACAATTTGTAGTATTATAGAGATTCGAACAATCGTCCTAACCCCGGAAACAGGATGAAAACAGATAGGAAGGGAGACAGGACGAAAATAGGTTTATTACTCTTGCGTTCACTTGTGGAAGCTGGAGAACGCGCAATAGTGTCTAATCCTCCCATTCTCCTCATCTAACAAGGGAATGGTCAGAAGTCGAAGTGGCCATTCCAGACAAGCTGCATACCATTCGATGCAGCATATAATGCTAATTCTAAATCTGTTTTCCATATCTGCAGAGCGCCTCTATAGGCGAAATTATGAGCAGGTTTACTGCGAAAAAATCGGACACAAAAATTCCGAAATTAAGCACTTTATTGCTTTTTTAGCTCACCTTTAGTTACGAGTCGTATGAAGTTTCATGTTTTGGTCCAGCACAGAACCGGGAATAGCTCTGTGCGCCCAAGATTGCCCTTAACACGCACAACTTCTTAGCAAAATAATGGTCTTTAACGGCTTATAATTTTGTCCACAAGTATTCTGCATATAAAGAAGAGAGATTTAGAGTCAGCGTTTTATGCTGCATCTAATGGTATGCAGGTTGTTTGAAATAGCCACTTCAATTTCTGACCATTCCCTTGTAAGTAACAAGTTGCTTTATGCAATCCCGATGTGCGAACCCGCGGCAAAGTTGATGCGCGATTTAGCGTCCAACACTACTTTGGCTGGGTTCATACTGATCCGAAGTTCCGGAACAGTTCAGCACAGTTCTCGTGCTGGAACTGCTTGGAAACTGTGCTGCATACGCTGTAGCCACCCGCATGCGGTTTTGAGCGGCGCGAGCCAGCGGTTTTTGAATTTCTTGAACGGTTTTGATTGTATATCTTGCACATTTTCGTCTCATTCTTGCATCTTGCTTCTGCTTGCGAAGAAGACGATTCCGAAAGCGAGGTTCAAGAACGAAGCTTTTTCATGTTTTGTCTTGCGTAAAAGATGTGTTTTTCTTCGCGCATCCCTTCTTCTTCGCGAACTTTCTGTAAATCATTCATTTTTGTACTTCAGAATGTCGCTGCGTACTCGATATTATGAGCTGTCTTCAGGAAGGACTTATACATATCATCGTGATTGCGAAGATCGCGAATTTTCCTTGTGTTTTGATGAGATTTGGTTTTTGGGCGTTTCAGCCCCTTTTCTTTTCATATTTCATCTGCTTGCTTGTTCGTTCTTGATTAACGTTCCGTTTCCGATGAAGGAAATCCGAATTCAGAGAAATGTACAAGGACGGAAGCGGCAGTTCGTGGCAACTTTCAGCCCGAATATTCTCATTCTTGTACTCAAATAATCGCCAGGGGCAGGCGGTCCACAAACTCGCGGTTTTCTGCAAGCGGTCAACAGAATTTTGGGGTTGGCCAAACCTTCAGCTGTCGGTACTTCGTTTACGGTCGCATATTCTGCCAGCGGGCACCAATACAGCATTTTCTGCAAGCGCTCGGCAAGTAATTTCTTTCAGCGAGCGTTGGCCAAACTTTCAGCAAGCGCTCGGACTCTTTTTGAGCAGTTTCGGGCATACGCCGAGCACAGGTAAGACTCTGTGTGGCAGAGGTGTAATTGTTGGTTTAATTACTCAAGTTAGAGTACCTTCTCTCAGCGGATAGTACCTGAGGGCTGTGCGGTCCACCACAATGGACCGTGCGGCTCTCGAAAATTTTGCATGTTCTCGCGGAAAGTCCGCGAGAATGGGGCCACTGCGCCGCAGTTAATCTATAAGGAAACGCGATTGTTTTCCAAACATTCGTCTGAAAATTTCGCTAGAATTCTTCCAAATATCTGCAAGCGGACCGCAAGAAATCAGCGAACTATTTTTCCGGTACCCGCCCGCCCATAAATCGCATGGGCGCATGCCCTCGGCGATTATCTGAGTACCCATCTCCAAGCGCGGAACTTTTCACACTGGGAGAGCAAGCGAGGTACAAGAATGAGGCGAAAATGAGCAAAATATGCTACGAAAATCGTTGGAGAAAATCAAAAAAATTGCTACTTCGCGCCGCTCAAAACTATGCGGGCAGCTGCAGCGCATGCAGCATAGTTCCAGAAAAGTTCTAGCGCAGTGCGAGAGCTGTGCTGGAACTGTTCCGGAACTTAAGGATCAGTATGCTCGAAGAGTGAACGAGGTACTGCCTATTCCGACTGAGAAGCCTTTGGCTTTGGCTTCTCAGTCGGGGTAGGGAGTACTCGTTTGCTTGGAAGCAGATAACGTGCTTTATTCCCGCAATAGTTTAAAAGCAGTGGTGCAAACTGTCTCTGCAGATCTTAACGCCGCCAGTAGTTAGCGCCAGCTTAGAGGCAATGGATCGGCAAAACTTAACAACCCAGGATTTGACTCGGTAAGTTGCTTATCACTCAAGTATGAAAACAGTGCAATCCCAATCTCACAGCATGCCTTTCCTGCCGAGAAAATTGCTCCCAAACTTACATGCGCAAGCCAATCTTACACGCGCATGGACGAGCTGGCAATCCCCCTCTCACTGCTCAGATAATCGCCGGGGACAGGCGACCATACGATTTATGGGCGGGCAGGCACCGGAAAAATAGTTTGCTGATTTCTTGCGGTCCGCTTGCAGATATTTGGAGGAATTTTAGCGAAATTTTAGACGAATGCTTGGAGAACAATCTCGGTTTTCTTATAGATTAGCTGCAGCCGCATTCTCGCGGACTTTCCGCGAGAATACGCAAGATTTTCGAGGGCCGCGCGGTTCTTCGCGCAACCGCGCAGCTCCCAGGTACTTTCCGCTGAGAGAAAGTACCTCAAACTTAAGTAATTAAACCAACGCGACATCTCTGCCACACAGAGTCTTACCTGTGCTCGGCGTATGCCCGAAACTGCTTAAAAAGAGTCCGAGCGCTCATTGAAAGTTTGGTCAGCGCTCGCTGAGAGAAATTATTTGTCGAGGGCTTGCAGAAAATGCTGTATTGCCGCCCGCTGGCAGAATATGCGACAGTAAAGGAAGTGCCGCCAGCTGAAGGTTTGGCCACGCCCCAAAATTCTGTTGACCGCTTGCAGAAAACCGCGAGTTTGCGGAGCCTGCCCCCGGCGATTATCTGAGTGGAGGCTGCCACCGCAATGCTTTAACCATTGAGTCCTGCAACGATTCAGCGTATTTAGTCTTCCCGCACTCGTCCAATTTGCACGCGAAGGGCATTTGGAAAACGCTCGTTTTCTCCATTTTCAAGCTTTCTAATGTGGATTTCTGGGATCAGCGCATTAGATAACCCCAGTAAGCGAGAATTTGACTGGGTTAAGATTTGCCGAGCCACTGCCTTTAACCTATTACAAAAGGCTGTTTGAAGTTTCACAATGTCGGAACTGACAAAACCTACCTTTCCGCCAATTGTCATGAACGATCTGCCTAGACTTCGTCCATAGAAGTGGATATCGCGAATGTACTCACTACCAACGAGATCTGAATGATTAAAGTAAGCAGGTTCACGTACTCCGTTGTCTTTTGAATCCCATCTGCAAAGGACGTTGGAGTTCAACAGGAGCTACCATCTCACGCTAAGGACCATAAATGTTTATAATTAACATGAATTTCGCAGTGATGGCAAAGGAAGAAAGCTTCGTCACTCAAACTTTCGACCGATTTTACTCATTGCTGGATTTATTGAACGCTATGCGTAAGTAACTTGTTATAATAATAACTTGCTAAGGCCGTCTTTTTCTTGCCTTTTTCTTGTGTACTTGTACTTTAAAAAACAGTACTGTACTTCTTTTATGTACAGAGTGTCCCAAAAGGATGTGCACACTGTTTGATCGTTAATAACTCTCTTGCCTTCAAGTCTTTCAGCAAGCTTGAAGTACCATTCTCTAGAGTGAGGTTCTTAAATTTACAGTGTGCAGCGAATCACCAATCACTCTTCGTTACTGTAGGATTACGGTATAAACTTTCAGTATACAGCGTCACTGTGGAATAGGCCTTCTGATGAAATAGTTTCAAAAAATCTGGAAGCCTGTGTAGCAAGGTTTTCAGGCGTGCTGATTTCGCTGCATGACTTTTCACCAGTTTTCCGAGCTTTCTTGATGGCGTATTCACATTTTTGACGAACATTGGAAAATCAGTTGTTACCCCCTGACTCTGAAATAACTCATGAAAGAAGCACTATACTAAAGTGCAAGTTTCATATTTAGGATCAGCGACTTCGATCAGCCACTTCAAGAGTTTGTGGCTTGTTTGGCTTTCTTTCTGAGGCAAAAACCGGCAAAATATCGCTTTCAATGCCTCAAAATCCTCCTCAAAGTTCCCACCGTAATTTTACGTAATAGGGAGCTATCGATAATTCGTTCCACTCTTCTAATCTAAGTTGAAACTCGCTAACCAAAATGATACCTCAAGCTAGGCAAAAGACATGAATGCAGGAGAGTTATTAACGATCAAACAGTATGCACATCTATTTGGGACACCCTGTATTGTCTCTTAATAACCTTACGTAGCACTTTACAGAGAAGCTCCTGAGCTATGTTTTTATATAATATGCAATACCAATATGTTGTTCAGCAAACACAAAGACAAGTGGATGTGATGCATAGCCCTATCTGAAATTGCAGCTCCTGAACATAAGCTATTACTCGCCGTAAACCTCCGTCATTCCAAGGCCTGGACGCGGCTAATTCGGCCTTATGGCGCCACAGATCAGCATCAGTCATGCCGTCAATCTAGATCCAATGGCCTAGCAGACATGTATGATTTTAAGGAAAGAACATCGCTCTTTCTATGCAGGCTTGGTCAAATATTAAATGGGTCCAAAAGTTCGTTCGCCTGATCTTAAAAAATCATAACGTCCTTCCTTCTCGGTGGAATTTCTTGAATTGATATTCGTTTGAAAAAGAAACCATTACAAACAACCATTACTCTTTACAACAGTATTTTTGCCATGAATTGTTGTTAAAAAGTTCGAGAGCTATAGGTAATTGAAGGAAATCAGTCAAGATCGGCTTTTTCAAGCTGGGTTACGAAAAATTCCGAAAGTATCACTATTTGATAGAGAAAATTATGCTCTTTACTACAGTACCTTTCCCACAAATTAAAACGAGAAAGATCGAGAGTTATAAGCAAATAAAGGGAATTACATCAGTTTTGCAATTCTGTGACCTTTTCTTTCTAGGTGAGCTAGAATCGGACCAAGCGAGAGCAATTTTGATTTTCGTAATATTTCCGGATTTTCGGGTCTGCGTTTTTCACGAAAACCAAAATTGCTCTCGATTGGTCCGATTCTCGCTCAGCTAGAAAGAGAAGGTCACAAAACCCGTGTTCTTGGCTTTCCCGCCTTTTTTGTGACATTTTTGGGCTTTTTTGGGCATGCTCAAAAATTGCAAATCTGATGTAATTCCCTTTATTTGCTTATAACTCTCAATCTTTCTCGTTTTAATTCGTGGAAAAGGCGCTATATTAAAGAGCATAACCTTCTCTATCAAATAATAGTACTTCCGGAATTTTTCCTGATCCAGCTTAAAAAATGTCGATCTGGAGTAATTTTATACAATTGCTTCTAACTCTCGAACTTTCTCACGCAATTCGATCGCAAAGATACTGTTGTGAAGATAATGGTTTCCTCTTTCAAACAAAAATTAATTCAAGAAATTCCACTAAGAAGGAAGGAAGTTATGATTTTTTGAAAATCCGGCGAACGAACTTTTGGACCCACCTAATAGATGGAAGTGTTGCAATTCAACGGGCGTGGCCTAGTTTGGGACAAGACAGCGGCAACATTTTTGCTACATGACCCAGTCATCTTTAATAGCGGCTATCATGAGAAATCGATGATCGCTAACAGAACTTCGTCTAAATACTAAACAAATAGAACAAAACATGATATTTTAGCATGACATAAATAAAAAAATCGAATGAAAAGTTTTTTGGAACAGTCGGAATCAGATACATTCTTATTTCACGCAGCTTTCAAAAAATTTATGGAAACTCTGCTGCAGAAGAAAAAACTTTTTTTCCCACGGCTGCGATCAGCTGCTCATCGACTCTTCCTATCCGAGATTGTGTAGCTTCGCCACTGTCGTTTGCGATATAATGTCTTACAGCGTGTAAGGTCTAACAAAGGATAAAGGTCTGAAGGTCTACTATGAGCCTAGGTTTGGATATAAATTTTTTGTGAAGGGTTGGTCTAGTCTCAAGTCAAGGCCATTTCACTGAAAATTTGCCAGTCACGGAAATCGAACCAAGAAGCCGTCATGGTGTGATAACTAAACAATACTTTTTTGAGCAGGATTATAGAATACACATGTGAAAATACCAGGGAAAAGACAGTAAGTTTTTAACAAGGGTTGAGAGGAAAAATTGTAAAATTGTGAAATTGTAAAATTTGTAAAATTGTAAAATTTCAACAAAATCAAAATGGACTCAAAAAACCCAAAATTCGACTCGTACCGGCGCCCTGTATGACAATCAACTTAAGTTACCCTGCATGTTCTTGTGATTCTAAGGAAAATGTAAATTTGAAGGTAAACACATATATTAATATCTAATATCTAAGTATATCGAATTTGTGGAATCAAACTGTAGGCAGATCGTTCCACAAGATTTTTGGGTAATCACAGTTATTAATTTCCATGTTCCGTAATCATTAAACCTGGGCATGATCGTAAGTGTCGAATATTGTTGTGCCGAACAGGTTGTTAGGTGGTCCTTTTATTGTCAGTACTCTTCGGCCTTACGTTTCGACGCTTTCGTCTTCATCAGAGGCCTGGAATGCCTTGCCAGTTTTCGGCGCTTCCCCCAATCTAGTGCTATAAGAATTGTGATGGCAAAAGACATGCCAGGGAACCACCGCTTCATTAGATGTCCGTGCCGGATGTAGATGTTCGTGACGGACGACTGAGCTATACTGAGGGATGTCACATAAACAGTTGTAGCTCACATAATGATGGAAACGGAAGAATCAGCGATTATGGATAAGCACTCGTTTTTGTTGTTCATTTCTGGATTATTTGCAGAAATCCAGAACGATTCTAAGGCTTCAGTCATCTCCACCATGCAATTCGTGCCTATCTGCCAAGCGTGTTCATGTAATGCACGCTATATTGGGGAAACAGGAAGAACACTCGGCATTCGCATCAAAGAGCATTTGTCAGACAAAAGGCGTAAGAACTTGGCTTCGCCGCTTGGCAGACATAGGCACGAATTGCATGGTGGAGATGACTTTGATATCAAAGTCACAATTCTAACACTTAAAAAAGAGACCTCGGCTAGGAAAGCCTTAGAATCGTTCTGGATTTCTGCAAATAATCCAGAAATGAACAACAAAAACGAGTGCTTATCCATAATCGCTGATTCTTCCGTTTTTATCATTATGTGAGCTATAACTGTTTATGTGACATCCCTCAGTATAGCTCAGTCGTCCGTCACGAACATCTACATCCGGCACGGACATCTAACGAAGCGGTGGTTCCCTGGTATGTCTTTTGCCATCACAATTCTTATAGCACTAGATTGGGGGAAGCGCCGAAAACTGGCAAGGGCTGGTAGAGACGTTTGATGGGCTGGAGTTACGGATGAAGCTTTGAACCATTCCAGGCCTCTGATGAAGACGAAAGCGTCGAAACGTAAGGCCGAAGAGTACTGACAATAAAAGGACCACCTAACAACCTGTTCGGCACAACAATATTCAACACTTACAATCACAGTTATTTTTATCCAGCTTGAAGTTAGGAGATAACATGGAGTGCGCAAGTCATGAGCCTGCGCAACTTATAAATTGACACTGATCTGGGAGCTGAGAGACTGTTCGGATTAATGAAATCCTCGCCGAAAATTAATAGCTTAACATTACGCAAGACTTATCGCAGAAGAAATATCTGCGATGCAGAAGAAAAGCCGTGTTTATAAGATTTTGGCATGTCCCTTTATATTGCTTTGCAAAAGCTTTGACAGATAACTTTCCCTTTGTCATCGCCCGCTTGGATGCACAATGTGTAGAGGACTAGTTTTCTTTCCACTATTTTCCTAGTTCACCCTCGACTGAAGTTACATCGATTTGATAAGGGATGCGAACTCAAGATTCACGATTGAAGATCCGATTTTTTACGGAAGAAGACACTCACCGATACACATAGTTGTAATGATGAGGCCAAGTATAATGTAGGCTAGAGTGGCTGGAAAAAAGTCGACGTTCAAAGGAACTATGTCACCAAATCCTAAACCAAGAACTTCACTTGAGAAACTTTGTGCTTTGCATTCTGTTATATGAAATCACCCCTAAAATATTCTCACCTATTGTTGTCACGGTAACGAAACAGAAATAGAATGCGTCAAAAAAGGACCATGCTTCCCAATATCGTATCACATATGCTCCACCAGCCACGTAACCTGAACTGCGAAAAATCTCTATCATGCTGTTAACATTCGAATGAAATGAGATAAAAGGCGAGCAAGTTGATAACTAAATAATCCATCCATGCCCATACTCATGTTTTCAAGTAACCTGCTGGCGCAGGATAAATTGTGAAGTGAGTCCACATTTAGAGAAGCACACATTTATACTCATCTAAACTTGTCGCGGATTCTTGACTTTCTTCAAAGGAGGCCACCACCGCGCTGCGAAGGGGTCCCGAAAAACTCGCGTTTTCTTGCAGGCGGTCAGCAGAATTTTGGAGCGTGGCCAAACCTTCAGCGGGCGGTACCTTACTGTCGAATCTCCTGCTAGCGGGGCAGAATATAGAGCTTTCTGCGGGCGCTCGTCAAATGATCTCTTTCAGCGAGCGCTGGCCAAACTCTCAGCAGGCGCTCGGACTCTTTTTGAACAGTTTTGGGCGTACGTCGTGCAAATATGAGACTCCATGCTGCAGACTCGGACAATCGCCGGGGGCAGGCGGGCACCGGAAAAACAGTTTGCTGATCTCTCGCACCCCGCTCGCGGATTTTTTGCAAAGCAATCAGGACTTTTCGGAAGACCGCTCGCTAAGTCAGCGGATTTTTGAGAGACCGCCTGTTGAATCTTTTTCGCTCTTATCTTTTGCAGATATATTGCTGAATCTCTGAGGAATCGAGAATTCAGCAAGCGGTCTTCCGAAAAGTCCTGATTGCTTTGCAAAAAATCCGCGAGCGGGGTGCGAGAGATCAGCAAACTATTTTTCCGGTGCCCGCCTGCCCCCGGCGATTGTCTGAGGAAATGTCATCGATGGTTTAATTACTCAAGTTTGAGTACTTTCTCTTAGCGGAAAGTACCTGAGGGCTGTGCGGTCCTCCACAAAGGACCGCGCGGCCCTCAATAATTCATATTCTTGCGGCCACTGCGCCGCAGCTAATCTATAAGAAAACCGCGATAGTTCTCTGAGCATTCGTCTAAAAATTGGTCAACATTCCTTCAAATTTTTGCAAGCGGGCCGCAAGAAATCAGCGAACTATTTTTCCGGTGCCCGCTTGCTCAAAATTCGCATGGCCGCCTGCCCCCCGCGATTATCTGAGTAGGTCAAGAAAGTGAAAAAGGTCAGCTTTTTGCACTCACAAAAAAGTAATGCTCTCTATCAGTCTATGATGGAAGTTAGACTTCACATCGCTTTCAAATAGTGGAGTATGAAGTGGTGCAAAACTTTCAATCACCGCGTTTTCCACCTTGAGTGCTTCAACTCTATATCACCACAAAATTGAAACAAGTCGAGGTAAGCTCAAACACTTACAGTAGATTCATCGAGGTTTGTCCTAGCAAATCATGTAAAATTAAGGTTGGAAAGCTTCTTCGGTGATAAAGTTAATCGAGCAGGCACAACCCTTTTAAAGGTCAGGTTGCCTGAGCTTTTGTAGCCTTGTGTCTGTCCCCCTTAACATGTTTTCGAGATCCAGAAGTCGCGTCAAAACACTTTCAGTAGGATAGACCCTTTCAAATTAATTCAGCCATCAAATTACGTGTGTTTGTAAAGTACAGTCACAGAAAATCGAGCGTACAGACTTCAAAAATGCAAAAACTCCTCAGAAAAAGATGATGTCCTCCAGAGTGTCGCATTCTAGGGTTATGGAGGCGAGGAGGAGGAAGAAGGGGTCGTTTGGGAGCTTTCAGGTGAGGAGGGGTGGTTTGGGAAAAACTTGGCCTGACCTCTTGCTCAACTCTGATCATAATTTACGATAACGGGCAAAGCGTGCTTACGTGACTGGTGTGTGTGTGTGTATGTGTGTATGTGTGTATGTGTGTATGTATGTATGTGTGTATGTGTCATATATATATATGTGTACTAGCTGATGGTCCCGGTCTCACCCGAGACTCTTAGTTTAACAAATGGGGTAGGGTAACGAACTCCGTTAGTTTGAAACTTCTCCACGGACTATTGGTCCTGCAATCACATGCAACACTATTTCGAAAGGATAGTTGCCAGCAAAGGCGGGTT